CCCGCCCGGGGGTGGTCCCGCGCGCTTTGAGGGGCGCAGTGAACGACAACGTCATTAGAAATACCTACGGACATTTTGGAATGATGCAGGGGAGATTGGAGAGAATTGGGACACTACTCGTAAAGCAGCTATGAAAAGCTGTCACTTCGATTTCAAGGTTTTCTAGACTTGCGTTGCGTCTAGCCTTCTTTCAGCGATTTACTAAGCCATGTGTTTTGCATACTGGCATGGAGAGAAGATCGAGATGAAGCTAAGCCCCGTGGGTATAGTGCGAACAAATACCGTCGTCCCCACTTTCGCGTCAGGACCAATGGGCCCCACTGACAAAAAGGCCAATATTGCCACCGGGGCGCTCCGACAGCCTGGCTGTGGCAGAAGCCGAGCTGGCAGTGACCAACGTCTACAATTTGAGCTTCACACATCTTGGCTTTAAACAGTGGAACATACCTTTCCAATCGTCCAACAACAATGCCACGGATCCGTTATCACGACACAACGCTTGTGGGTCGCTATTAGTACGGCACGTGGGCGCCGCCGCTTGCACACGCTGATGATTTTGCTCACCCGCGATATCTTGCTGTTTCTCATAATGTGAAGTGTGAACTAAAAACAATATTAATAGTGCAAGGTCATAGCGCTTGAATTGTTGGTTACAAGTACTTATAATGCACGCTTATTGCAAACACCTTTGCTGTCAATGCCTTTTCGGATTGGGCCGGTAATTTCAACAGCGGGTGTGCAATCAGTATGCCTAAGCATGCAATTCTGCAAATGCTGTTCTGTAAATGTCTCATTAAATACACAAGGCGTTCAGAGAATAGTATGGTTGACAGCAAGCTAAATTTAGATGTTCTACTTCTAACTCAGTTGAGAAACCGGACCAGAAAATCAGAGAACTCGAAGTTAAAACGTCCACAGCAAGTTTTGATGCGCAGGTACAGCCCGCAGCTAAAGTAATGTGAGGTTCTGCCAATCTCAACCGATGGCTTTGACTGACGATTTATAAATACGGAGTGATCCAGAGGAAGACAGCAAAAGATGAGCTTGCAGCTATAAGGATGATGGTACTGAAGCTATATTTCAAATTTCATGTCAGGTAGTCTGAAAAATAGTTCCTAACCTGTTCAGAAAAAGTATACCTAGATCATTTTTCAATCAGGTCATGTATGAGGTCACTGGAGGTCACCAAATATGAAATTTTCACGAACTTTTGCTACCGATTTGGACAACAACTTTTCCTGGCTCGGCGCATCACCGTCCTCACGAGCCCTCAGACTCCTAAGCAAGTCCTCAGATTCTTGTGAGGGGAATCTACCCTCGGGTCCTGTTTCTATCTAAAATTATAGTAAAAGACTGTTCGAGATGTTTCATGAACTGAGATGACCTCAGGGACATACAAGAGGTCAAAGGTGCATGATTTTCCGAGACAGTGTGCCATTACTCATTTCCCGGTGTTTGATGGTGACGGTGTTTCCGTCCAAAGAAGAAATGCAGAAGAGCATTTCAATTTGCTCCCATTGACTGATTGGTAATGGGGAGGTCACAAAATTGATCTGACCTTAGGGCACCGATCGCAAAATTCCGAAATTTACGAGTTGTTTGCATTGATTTTCTCATGCAATAGCCTGAGTTTCAAACTTTTGGGATGTAAACTGCATGAATGACAGAATCACGTTTTTTAGAGGTCACTAATTAACTTGACCTGGTGACCTGACCTTATGTGATCTGGGGTCAAAAATTTCACACACGATGTGAAATTGATGCATCATAAGCAATACAAAGTTTCCTAACGCACGCAAAGAAAAAAACTGGCAGATGTGGCCAAAAACGCCCCTGACCCCCTCCGGGCGAAGGATAAGATAAAGATGCAAAGCTTGACAACTACTGGCACCTCACATTGCCCAAGCGGTGGACTGTACCTCAAATGGGTACCCTACCATGGGCAAGAACCGGTCTCCATACACTGTGTCCCAATATCGAAGTTCGCTCTCCCACCACTACTTCAAAACACTTAGGTACGTACCTACGTATCATCCCAAGTGGATGCTCGCAATAATCTGCAAATGGTGTAAGTTCCGTGTGGTATGGTATGGTACGGTAGGTACCTATGACTTTGGATACCGGTACCTATCCTTACAATCTGCTGATTCTCTAGGCGTCGAATGGGATGGATTTCTGAGAGCTGGTGGGCGCCCAAACCATTCATCTTTTATCAAATGATGCGTAAATTCCGGTAAAGACGCGTTCAATTCATCAGCCCCCCCCCCTTTCCAGATATATACCCACAAGTATGATAGCTATTCGCTGCTCAGGTTAACTCACATTGGTTTACTTTTGATCGATAGACGATAGTACAGGTTTTTCCACTCTCCCACACGTTCCTGTTGCTGCGCTTCCCCTCCCCCCCACACCCACAACTACCCCCTACCTTTCCCACAACTCCCGCAATATAGCCCGGCTCCTGAATCCGCCGACCATCCGCCGCTCCCCCGCGCGGCGCCGGGCTGGTCGAAATGAGCTGCCCCGGCGCTCGGTCATAGAGCCCGTGTGTGCTGCGGACACCGAGAGGTTACATAGGATACAACCCAGCGCCGCGGGACGTCTGGATTGGGGCGACGAGTCGGGTCGGAGAGGGCGAGAGTGAAATGCCGATGAGGGAGGTCAGAGGGATCGAACTAGGAGGGTCAGATGCTGGCGACCACGCTTATGTAGTGACTGCGGAAAACGTCGTTGAGGGCTATTATAGTGACTTTTACGGATAGGTATTCTTTGGTGTTCTAAAATAAAATACTGCTTTTCCAACATACGAGTTCTTTAGTCGCGCGCACTCGGTTTCTTCCACTTCTGATTCATTCTTCTGCTGATTACGTTCACAAGTTAGCTTTAGTTTTCTACCTGAGCGAGACCCAAATGGAAAAGAATCCCTCATTACGTACAAAACAGCTAGCATTTCAGGCGGGCGATGATCGTCCTAAATGCTTTTAGTTTTTCGGCCACTCTTTCCGGGAAGCTACATCCTCCTCTGTGATTAGGCAGTACGGAGAATTGTTGCCTACCAGCCAGATCTCCGGGCAATATAGGAGACGAAAAACGCCTTAGAGGATTCGATGATGGCTGCCAAGTGTGCAGGCATTCATTGCATGTTGCTGAGCCAAAGCTAATTTCATTGACGAATTACTCGGTACCGTAATTTATACTTATCTTCGATTGGATCTTAGTTTATCATTACTCGATGAGGAATTCAAACAAAATGGCAGCTTCCAATTCAACGGCATCGAACGCCGAAAGGCGTCTTTTGTAGTTGTTCGTTTGATGAAACATTGCGCTAATTACATATGATAACTTCGTTTTCAACCCGGCGAGTCCTGACGGCACGATAGAAAAGTAAAACCAGCCCCCTGTTTCCGTATTCTTGCAGCACACTTGAACTTTGCACTCAGCGGCTGAGTGGCTTCCACATCCCACCCAACATTACCCGAGCGTCTTTCAAGTCCTGAGTCCACCCCCGGCCCTAACCCAACCCAAACTTCCACTAACATGTAGGTACCACATGACCGTGGAGACAGGGCAGGGGGGAGGACCTCTCAACTTCCACTAACGCATACTTTTGGACTTTAGTGAGGATAAGGTGCCTCTCGAGTTCTACTAACGCGTACCACAGGAGTCTGGGTAGGACAGGGACGTCTTAACTTCCACTAGCATACATCAAAGAACACTGGACAGGGCAGGAGAGGGGGACCGCTCAACTTCCACTAACATATACCATTGAACCTTCTAGAGGACATGGAAAGGGACGCCCCGACTTCCACTAGCGTACGTACATCACAGAACCCTGGAAAGGACAGGGGAGAGGGACGTCTTAACTTCCACAATCGCACACTTTATGACCCTGGATAGGACCGCACCGAAAAGGAAGGTAGGTAGTCCGAGGAGCCGCCGTCGAGCCAATGTCCGTGTCTGTCCAGTAATTCGATCAAGGACGTCCCGTGGTGTTTACGCTGGGGAGCACGCACGCGGAAGTGATGGCTGGGAGCGGGCCAGAGGTGACACAGAAAGACGGCAAAAAACGACAGCGGATGATTGGGGAGGTGGGGATGTATTTGGGGAGAACAGGTGGGCTGGAAAATAGCTGTGAAGGTAGCTGCGTGTAATTGAACGGTGATGATAGATACCCGACTTAAACCTAGCGGAATAGTTGTCGCTATACATGGTAAAGTCGTTTTGAACAATTCAAATGTGTATGAGATTGTCAAATACGAGCACATCGGTCATTAAACCGGGAGGTGGCATGGAGGGCAATCTTATGCATCTTATTGTAACAAAGAGCGATGTGGTGTGTTTGTTCGATGTGTTTATAAAAGAGCGATGTCTATTGCGCAACCGTTAGACTTAAAGGGACCCTCCCACCTTCAAAAAAGTTTATGAATTGGCATGAAAGGGATGTCGCTCGGTTCAGAAAGAGCGAAAACGAATATCTACCAAATTTCACCGAAAAATATTCACCGGTTTTCAAGACATTAGACTTTTACTTTTGTTTACTTTTTTGGGATCTCCGCTGTTTCTAGCGACTTTATTTTAGAAGTGCGGCGTTTGCGGCAGATGTTGCGCGCAAATAGCATATACCACCGCGTGCTACAAAACGTTTTAGTCAAACATTTAAAAATCGTTAGATATCTGCGCTGACGTCACACATTCAGAGGGGTATTCCTAAGCATTAGCCCCTCTGAATCAAAACGCTGCAATTTTGAAATTCAATATTTCCGATTTAAGGCATTTCTCGATGTTGTGAGTGCCGAAACCGGTAATTGTGAGCCAGGGACCCCATTTTGGCTATCTCAACTCAAATCCAATGTTAAGGTGGGAGGGTCCCTTTAAGTTAGCAGACAGCAGTGCTATCATCTGTTCAGCTCTGGGCCTACCCTCCTACAGTCGCACACTGTAAGCGCCCCTCCCCCACCACACTCTGTCTCACTCGCCTCTCGTCGTCTCACAGACTCGGCCTCTACCCTACCGCATGTATTGTTGACGACACGGGTGGCTCGCTCCAACTCGTCGGCTGGCCCAGCCCGGGAGTCACGGAGCAGGCGATCGCACTGCCCTCTGCCGCACAGACGCCGAAGCTGACACGGGTTAGCGTTAATTCCATCAGGTGAACCACCCCAGAAATTCTCGCCGGCGCCGTTACATGTGCGACAACAGCGCGAGCTTTCCGCGTTCAACAACGATCCCGAAACAGCCGTCGTCGATAGAGGCGAGACCCCGCGCCAGCAGAGCGCAATCTCGCCCTTACGAGTCTCGCGGCGGTCGAGAGAGCCCTCCGTTCAAGGCGGGGCAGGAATTAACCTTCGGCGAGAGAACTCAGCGGACGCTCACCGTGCTCACACGCTCACCAGCTCACATCCACGCGCTCACACACGCTCTCACTTGAGACCCCACCCGATACACGCTAGAAGGGACACGCTGGCGCGAGAGACAGAAAGCGAGCTCCAATCAATTCGAGACAGAGGTCGAAACAAGCCACGCCGACCGGTACAAGCGTGTTTGAAAATAGAGCGAGACGAGAAGCGGTTTCCAGCGAACTCACGACGGAGATGACGCAAAGCGCACTGCCTGCGGCGGTTCTCTTGACCGGGCGTCTAGACAGTCCTCACTCTTCACCATCACCGTCCTCACGAGTCCTCAGACTCCTGCGAGAGGAGTCCGTCCTCGCGCGAGCAGTTTCCGAGTCCCAGACCCTCGTCAACGCGCCGACGCAGATGTCCACCGCATCCTCACATGTTGCTTCGATGAGTTTCGCCACCGTCTCTCAGTGTTTCTCGAAGCTTCTCGAGCGATCTCGAGCCGCCGCGTCGTCCCCAGCCAGCCGGGCGGTCGGCACGTCCCCAGCTGCTAGGCTGGACGTGCCCAGGGCGCCGGCTGGATAAAGTCGAGACAGGAGCTAGAGTTGATCCGTCGCCTTCGGCAGAGAGGCGGCACATTCTGCGGCGAACAGGGGCGTGGCGGGGTCAGATGGAGGTCACGGAGAGGTCAAGGCTACGGTCTGGTCACGCTCAAGCCAGGGGCAGGTCAGTCATGTTCACGTCACCGTCACGGTCAGGTCATCTGTGGAGAAGAGTCAAGGTCAATAAGACAAAGGCACAATTCCAGTGATTCAGACATTGCACATCAGAAGGTTATTCGTGGCGTGAGACTTTTCTGGAAAAAGTACGTTTGAAACTGAGAGCTGAAAGACGCATTTTCAGTTACATGCTTATACAAGACGTGTAGCGAAAAATAGTTATAAGAAACCAGGCGAGAAGCTCCACGTTTCGCCTACCACAGAACTAAGCGCCGACCTCGCACGGTCTAGCCAAAGTCTGAACCGCTTCTTTCAAAGAGCATAAAGGTTACAATAACACGAAGTTTTGCACATCAGCATATTGCGGAAGCGCTAACTTTGCACGCAATGATCCACATACTCAAGGAAGATGAGACTTTAATTCTTCCAGAGCATTTGGATGAAGAAGTCGGCTTTGAGCTCATGTGAGTAAAATGTATCGGACGAAAGTTAGCTGCACATGAACTGCAAGAATCGTGCGCAGCGCTATTGCGAAATACATCTTAACCCCCGTAGGGGGGGGGGGGCCGAAACGGCCCCCCCCCGTCCTTTTCGGTCGATATCTCCTAAACGGCTTGAGATATCGCCACCAAACTTTCAGGACCCCTCCGGGCATCAATTTTACACATTGTGACCAAAAATTTTTCCAGAGGCTATGATAGGTTGGCCACAAATGACGTCAGAGTGACGTCATGTTGTCATTTTCGACCGAAAAAAGACCTTCGCGATAAGACCTGTCAGGACTACAGCTTTGAAGATACAGAAAAATGATCGAGACATAAAAGGTGTAGAATTGACAGGGCTACAAAACTGCTATCTCGAAGTTTTGAAATTTTTGAGTTTTGACCCCCAAAAATCAAAAAAGCATTTTTTTGGATATATTCGCCAAAAAATCCAAAAAGTTTTTTGAGTTTCGAAAAGACCGGAATATATGTGATAGTGCCTACCGTCTTCTATCTACATACCAAATTTCAGATCGATACCTCGTTTTTTGGCCAAGTTATAGCGAAAAAACTGTTCAAAAATGATGACGTCAAATTTTCAAACTCAATTTTTGGCAATTCTAGAACTCGTAGAGCAAAACGAAGACCACCATTAGACTCCCCGTGACGAGCTGCATCGAATCGATACCCATTTTATGCAAAAATATCAACTTTGAAATTTGACCTAATTTGACCTGACCTTGACCTGACCTTCACCAAAACATGACCTAGGCTGGCCCCAAGGGCTGCCTAACCCACATAATCGCATTTGTCATGTAAAATGGACCATAAAACATGTATCACACGACACATTCATATTGTGACCCCCGGTGACCTGACCTCGCTGTGACCTGACCTGGTATCAGTGACCTCAGATAGCAAAGTATGTGTTTGACGAACAATGTACCATCGATGGTTTTCAATAAATTACCAATTTACTCGCTTTCACAACACATTTCTTGAATTGCCTGTGAACGGTGAAAATCTGAACTTTGACCTGACCTGTGACGTCATCGGTTTGACCTAGGTCAATGAAATTTGGTCACAAGGTAGTTCCCGGGTGGGGCTATCGAACGCCGTTTGAATTTTGAAAATCGGCCGGTAACTTTCCGAGATCTTAGGGGGGGGCCGAAACGGCCCCCCCCCCCCTACGGGTGGTAGGGTCCGCCGGTAGCCCTACGGGGCGCGGGTTAATTCAGCTTGTTCTGTATTTTGACTAGTGTTCCTCCATACTTATAATTTCAAGATGCCTTATAGGAAGATTCGCTTGACAAATTTTCAGAACAGTTTAATAATCATGGCACATGGAAAACTGCTTAAACAAACACGCAAGTATCTTCTAGTACGGCAGAGTTCTACAATACTTCCTCGCTGCCTCTGCTATTGCTGGCCTTCCAGCCCTCATCCCAATCTTATCCTTTTGTAACTTCCCCCACCCTATTTTTTCCGTTCTCTACCCGCACCCTATCAGTCTGGTACGTTGTGCGGACGAAGGGACGTGATACACAGGAAAACGGATGTCCTCTGCACTGAGCAACTACAGATAGCAGGCCATCGGACGAACATACTGTCTAGTCAAGTTGCAAAATGTGAATCACAGCAGACCCGAGAGGGAAGAGGAAAGAAATACAAAACTATGAATAGAATGAGAGAGCGAGAGAGAGCGAGAGCGAGAGAGAGAGAGAGAGCGAGAGAGAGAGAGCGAGAGAGCGAGAGAGCGAGAGAGAGAGCGAGAGAGCGAGAGAGCGAGAGAGAGAGAGAGAGAGAGAGAGGGAGAGAGGGAGAGAGAGAGAGAGAGAGAGAGAGAGAGAGAGACAGAGAGACAGAGAGACAGAGAGACAGAGAGACAGAGAGACAGAGAGACAGAGAGACAGAGAGACAGAGAGACAGAGAGACAGAGAGAGAGAGAGAGAGAGAGAGAGAGAGGAGAGAGAGAGAGAGAGAGAGAGAGAGAGAGAGAGAGAGAGAGAGAGAGAGAGAGAGAGAGAGAGAGAGAGAGAGAGAGAGAGAGACATCCAGGCATACATACAGATGGACAGGCAGATCCCAGTGCCAAATATCATTAGATGCCCTCTAGGCGGGACTGTCCAAATTTTCCACACTGAATTTGGAGAAGTCTAATGATGCAAAAACGCTCTTCAGGCTTACATAGCAACTAGAAAAATAAACTAACTTGCAAACGTACGGCAAACGAATTAGGAAGTAAGTACCAATGAAAAGCTTGATTCTGTAACACCATAAAAACTAAGTGGGATATAACCAAATAAGAGGTGTCAGGAGCCAATCATTTCAGGATTGACGAAGATCATGAGTTTGTGACGACGCCAAAGACTTGGGAGATCTGGGAAATCTGTCATCTCCGGCACAGCACATTACACACACCGTCATCCAGCAAACTAGCAGCACACAGGCGACATACTGGACGTGGGGAACACCAGCTCCAGGAAACACTTCCCTCCCCACCCTACGAGAGCGACCAGTACCTAACACGTGCCCTGAAGCACACACGTCACCCAGCGGGGGAGGTAGGGGGGGGGGAGGGGGCGAGGGGAACACGTTCCCGAGCCGGTCCATTCATTTGGGCACCCCCCCCCCCGACCAACATGGGTCTGCACTCGGCCAGCGGGCGGTGCGGGACTGTCGAGATGAGCCCATGGTGGACCCTACCAACCCAGTGACCTCCAGCGACACACAGTGACCCCAGTGACCTAAAGCGACATCCAGTGGCTCGTGACATACAGCGACATCTACATAGTGACCTCCAGCGATACCCAGTGACCCCAGTGACCTCCAGTGAAACACGGCGACATTCAGTGACCTCAGGTCACATACGGTGACATCGAAGTGACACAGTGACCTCCAGTGACTACTCAGTGCGACTCTGCAGACCTGCAGTGACTGTGATTCACATGGGCCTATAACGACCTAAGACGGACCGCAGTCGCACATTGAGCGACCCATGGTAACGTCAAGTGACCTCAAGTGACATGAGAAACGACCCTGTGCGATCTACAAAGATGTCAAGAGACATGCCCACAATTCACAATTCACGACTTCCAGCGACTTTCTCCCGTCCATTGAGCGACCATATGCGACCAGCAACCCTCAGTGGACAGCCTGCGACCTCATGCCCGGTGACCCCACAGCCACACGATACCTCAGCGGTACCCAAACCGGGAGCCCAGAACAACCCCGCTGGTTACCGCAGCCATGTGGAGAGCGGGAGGGAGCAATTAGCCAAATGAGTCGCTGTCGATACTGTCACTGGCAGCGCTGGGGGTTCGTGAGGGAGTGGAAGGGGGGGGGGCTGCGGGGGCGGGCCGTCCCTTGGTTACACGTGCTCGTGCGGCTAAGATTGGTTCAGACGGAGATGCATCGACTTAACCGGATCTGGGAATGGACATTGGTGGTGGGAAACAGGCAGAGAACTATAGGAAACTGATCAGAATAGCAGGATGTGGGAAATCAGGAGCGGTTAGGATGACTAGGTATATGGGAGGAAGGAAAGAAGAAAGGGAGGGAAGAGAGACTGTTTATGGTGCATATAGGAAGAAAGAGGAGAAAAGAGGCGACAAAAAGTTGCGAGAGCTGGAAAAACTGAACTCCAGTGCAAGTGATCGATAACCCGAGAAACACGGCTTTTAAGAGATAAGTGTAAATTCATGAAGACTTGCGATAACTCTGCACCCGGTCTCACAAATCATTAGAAAACAGGTTGATGCATAATCTACATGAAGTGCAGAACACCTCGTTGAGCCCAACAGCAAAACAATGCAAAAGAAGAGCGAGTGTTGAGCGGAAGGTTAACAGACGTAATTGGTTGTATTAAGAAAATAACTAACTTTCACAAGCACAAGGCCAAATATAGAAGCCGGAACTGAACTCAGGAGCGGTATCCAGCCTCAGTCCCGGATATCACAAACCTTCAGAGCAGAGAACTACACACCGGACTAGCGAGACGGTCCATCGCGCACAAATCTCGATCTAAGTGACTGAGGAGAGCGGCCACTTTTAGCAGTTCGTTGACCCCAGCCTCCAGGGAGCACCCGAAGGAGGGAGTGTCTACTTCAGGAAAAGGCAGAAATATCGCTGAGCTCAGACGTCAAACACAGCCAATGGAGGAAGGGTTAGAAAGGCAAAACAGAAAACGTAGAAACTGAGTCGATGCTTTCCATGATCATCAATATCAAATATGAGTAAAAGATGAACAATGGTATTACGAATATTAGTAACGCAAAAGGTATGTGCCTTTTACCCCCCCCCCCCCCCCCCCCTTCATACACTCACACAATATACGATAGTTTCCCGCATACTAGAAACGGGGTCACCTGATCTACACGTGGGACGCATCCAATAAGAGACCGCTCGCCCAGGGCGCATAGACCGCCAGGAGCGAGCACTTGCTGTCCAGTGGCTTACATGATCCATATTTATGAATTCCGAGGATTGCGCGATTCATTTCAACACGCCCGTATGATGTAGCGCTGTGCTGGCAGATGAACAAATTGCGCCTGTGCTCTATTTTTGATTCATTATCATGGTTGCGAGAGCTGTTTGCATAGCAATGACCTCAGCAAGTGAAGTAGGAAATGCGCAATGTTTTGAGCTAAATATGAAAGATCAGAGCAATACCACCATCAGTCACGAGTTCAAAGCATGATAAGGAAGGTTATGATGCTGTTTCAAAGCAAAAAAAGCAAGATCTATGAAACTATCAAAACAACTACACATAAAACAAGTTGTATAAAACGATAACACACAAAAAACGACAAAAAAAACGAGACATGACAAAGACAAAGCAAACAAAAAGGTTCATACGATATCAAACAAAGATATACCAGCCAAAGAAACAAAACAAATATGTAAAACAAAAAACAGTAGGGTGAAGTCGTATAAGAGTACGCACTTGTGGATTTCTTGCTCTCATTTGTTTAATATTTGAAGGAAAGAAATCGCAAATAGGGAATATTAAAGTTCATTGAATTAGCCATCAACCCATGGGGCAACGATCCTTCAGCGTAAATGGAAGTGGTCTAAAACTGACATTTTCTGAACCGTTGCACTTGCGTACTCTTACCATATGGGGTGTGTAAGAGTACGCACGCCAGGCGGGTGGAGTACGCAAGCATATGAACACACACCTATGCAGCTTGCACTGTCCAAATGCTTAGCTTCAAACTCAGAAGGCATTTAAGTTAATTCTAGTATCCAAAAAGAAAAACATAAAATAAATCTTTCAAGTCTATAAATCAGGAAATAATCATGTCGTGTGTTTCTAAAAAAAAAAAAATGCACAATCAAAAAGGAGAATAACTCGTATTTGGAAGAATTTCGGGTACGCATCTGCATCACAGTGCTCCATTGATGATATACCTACAAAACAAACGTCATTGAGCGATAGATTAATAATTATATATTTCTGTATATTCGATTTAATGTATAATTCTGCGTACTCTTACCCTCCTGAACAGTGCGTCCTCTTACCGTACATGCAATTTGCGCACAAAACAACCCCGAAACGTTGTGCAAAACTTCGCAAACAGAATATTGCACTGTACAGTATTTCCCCAGATAACCTCACAAGTTTCCCACAACAATCACGGAAATGTACCTCATCTCAACTGCCAAGTATCAAAATTATTGTACCATATCATAATAATATCATAACGCTCGAAAATAATATTCATCGCCTTAAACTCAACAGCGTCGCCGCTCAACGCCCACGTTCCGTTGGTGACATGCACGCACTGGCGGCTTCATGTCACTTCATGAACTCGACAAACCTGCGTTGCTAAGCAACCGAAACAGCTGATGCGTACTCTTATCGCCCGCGTACTCTTACCCGCCCTTACCCTAGGTAGGTACGGTGCACAACGAAAGACAATTTACAAAAAAAAAAAAAAAACACCAGACAGCGGCAAACAAACAATTAAATATTAACCACCGAAGAACATATCAACAACCACCTAAAAACAAACCTAACAGCGACCTCCGTCCTATCCTGACCCGATCCCGACAGTCCTCCGATCGTGACCGGGTCACTATGGACCGTTCCAGGCCCTGTTACTACCCGGCGGTCAGTGTCACAGCTGTGACGTCAGAGACCCCAGGGACACCCCCCACCGGATGGATGGGGCGGAGGGGGGAGGGTCGAGAGGTCGCTGGGTGTCATCAATGATTGGGGGATACAGCGGGTGGCAATAAAAATCAGCAGACTAATTACCAAGTACGAGAACCGTAACCAACTTCAAAACGAAGCCACATGTTGTCAAAATAAGTCCAAAAAATAATATGCTAGCAACAAAAACTAGCTTACAGCCTTGCAAAATTCCATGGTATTGGACTCAAGTCTCAGCTAACCATAAATAGCCGAACTAAGCAATAAGCATGGACATAACGAGTAAACCTTATGGAAATCCACTAACTGAAAAAAATGTGCAAGTTGTTTCAAAATTCCTTCCCGGAAACCTGAGCTAGTTCATGGACTGACATAGGACAGATGCTCGACTCGAGTGACTCCAGCTCCTCTACCAAACTCCAAAATCATTCCGCTATTTTGTGACCGAGCCGTGCCGTACTGACGTCAATTCAGCCAGCTGGAGCCACTCTGTTTATCCCGTGTCACATGTAAAATACCACAGGCGCCGCGGGCAGCCGGGAGCCGGCACCGCAGAGATTTGAACATCAGCAGCCGTGGCAGCGCCATGGGGTGGCATAACGAGTGACGCAATAGCACCGAAATTAATTTAAATCATACATTGATTTCCTAGACAGCGGTGCATCTATGATTTGAAGACACCGTTGAGCATCAGGTCAAATAGAATACAGAATGATTGACACATGTGTGCATAAAAATGGTCATGTTTATACCTAACTACAAAGCAAGCAATTCATGTTAGCCCATAATTTATACCTTACCCCAACCTATAAATAGGTTATGAAATAAACATATCAATGCGCCAGGGGTTTCAGAGGTGCACTAGCATAAGTTCCTAAAACACGGCTAATGTCTAACACTGGCTCAATCAAGTCACGTAACTAGCTGCTGGAAAGCGCTAGTAATCGAAAAAAAAATACCCTGCAACCACGGAGTGTATAAATACCCCCAACAGAGCCTAAACGCTCGATCACCCCCAACTCCTGAGCAAAAGATTAGCCAACTGACCACGTGGATTAGTGGCCAGCTGAGCCCGCCGTGGCAGCGGAGATATCTACACCGCTACCACTGAGTGGCAGGCTTTTCTGGACCTATTTCGGGCGCACAGGGGCGGACGGCGACCTCGGAACAATGGATGGTTTTCAATGAATGAAATTCACCAGCCTGTTTCCGGTGCGATTCAAGAGAAAGCATGCAATGGGTCGCGGCTGTTTCTCGTTCTGATTAAGGTCAAAACAAATACTCATTATAATAGATGAATATATGATTAACTGGAATTGAAACATATATCAGCTAGACATTGTCGACAGCAATTCTCTCTTTCGAAATGACTTATTTATACAAGCGTATTCATCTATGGCAGTGAATGCTGCCTTATTGGTTTTCTTGATGTCAAATAGCAAATAACGCACAACCCAGGCTTGTGTAATACCCTTTGGGGAACAGCTCTGCCACAATGACATCAATACTCCCAATCAACAGAGCCACAATAAGCAAGAACAGCACCAGACGTGGACATATGAGAAATGGCTGACATTGTTGAGCCAAAGAAATAAAACAAGTAAGACAACACACGATGAATTGGGGAATCATAACATAGCAAATACATACGACACAATATACCATGTAACTTTGGACACCGATCACAATGACGAGCACATGAAACTGACAATAAAGCCACATCATTCCAAAAACACAAAACGGCCGAAATTTTAAGGCATTGCCCTGAGCAATTCTTCCTAATCTAATCGTATGTGACACTGGAGACAAACGGACTTCTTACCCAAGGGATCTGGAGTGCATGATCCACACATGGAAATAAATACCTAACCCATATTTCGACACCTTTTTTTAAACCCCACATTTGTTCTCCGGTGAATTTCAGACAAGTTGGTTAGAGACCTTCAAAAAAGGTACAATCACTCGATTTTTCTCAAGTTTGTCTGTCTTGGCAGATAAAGCAATACCAGAACAGGCCTACGAACACACATATTTGATCAGGATCGGACGATTGGACACTTTTATAAGGAGTTTTTTTTCGTGCCTCCCGGAAATTCACGGGAGAGCAGATGTGGGGTTTAAAAAAAAGGTGTCGATTTCACGTGTGTATCGTTACGAGTTTCAGTCTTGACGCCCTCAGAAACTTTCAGAGCACTTCACCTCGCAGGGTTTTCGATAAAATTGCTGTAGCTTTCGATGTGGGATGCCTCTGCTTGCAAGGGTACTATCCATCCTCTTCATATTTTAGCCATATGGGAAATAATTTGATTTGAAACATCAATCAAAGTAAAGCTTTGGGCAAAAATCCACCAGAAGACCCTGCCCCTGGCATGCCAGCCACGGCCAGTACCAGTCCTGTGCTGCCACCTACAAAGCTAATCAACAATGCAGCCCTGCCATCTACATCCAAAAGCTGCCATCTAGGCTACAAAATCGGGCAGGTCGTCTCGCATCCCTTCCTGGTCTGTCTGTCATGCTATACAATACACGAGTCACGAAGCATATTCTCGTAAGTGTTGATAATTGATATTCATGAGAAATACAATCGGTTAGGTCCCATCCCGCCCTATCCCATCGTTCCATCCGTCCCGTCTCACGTCATCCCGCCCCATCCATCTCATCCCATTCCTCCCATCCCATCCCATACCCCATCCTCATACCTGCGTATGGCGTTGTGCTCCCGGCGCGGCGCTGGTCTCGCGGCGATCGGTTCAGTTCACAAACGTGGCGTCATCCAGCTGCTCCTGCTTCTCCTCGGCGCTGGGCGGCTCGTTCCACTTGTGGTGCTTGGCGTGGCTGAAGTTGACGATGCGCACGTGGATGGCCTGGTAACGGTCCATCTTGGGCGGGATCGGACACAGTCGGAACGTTACCCGGTCGTCCTTCAGAGGGATGTACTCGCCCTCAACACTGCCGGGAGGAGGGAGTGTCAGCCGGGGGTATGGAGGACAGAAATATGAGGTGACCAGAGCACCCATCCATTGGTTATGCGAGAGCGGGCGAACGTTTAAGTATAGCGGCGCACGGGAAAGAAAAAAATGGTTTGTCGTGAAAAGGAAAAGATATTACGATTCATAAGCGTATTTTTTGCTTTAGGTGAGAACTGAGAAATGTAATTAACATGCGCGAAAAGATAACTATTGTTATTTAATAGCTGCGCGAGGCAAGCACCAATTGAGTCACACACGCCGCTTACACCAGTGCATTGGTAAGCCGACAGGGTGATTGGTGAAAGTGGATAATGGCGCCACCACTGGGGCCAATAGAGTGTGAGGGATGGCACCAATCACTGGCGTTATTGGCGGGTAGGTACTGAGACGAGAACGACAGAGCAGCCAACAATGTTGAACGGGGAGGACGGGAAAACGGTGATGGAATGGTGGGAAAAGTTGCCCTATACGTGGGCCTTCTAAAGACAAAAGCAAATGCCTCAAAAGGAAGAACAAGCCCCAGCATAAATCACGACTTGATGGGCCATTCTTGTCGGACGATATCTAGGATCACAAACAGACACGAAAACTGTAGAAATTCACTCCACTCTCAACAGAACAAACAGCTAGGGAATCCAGCAACAAACTTCAATGGTTTCTTTTCATGCGGAATGTAAATGAATGGTGGGACGACGAGGACATGGGCGATGAGCGGTATGTGCCCCAACGTGTGTCTCTTGAAAAACAATACAGGAAAAAGTGCCATATCAAAGTATAGCTGAAATGCATGTAGATTCGAAGATCACACCAGCAAGTGTGTTTTTTTTAATGGTTTAGGTAAAGTTTCTCGTGTAAGCTATCAAATGTAATACTCACACTCCAAAAGACACCACACATTCATGAAAAAAACTACTGAAGGTGCACAAAATCATTACTAAAGAGGGTAAAGCAGCATCACAGCAAAATCACCTGTAAAATCTTCACATTAGAGAAACAGGACAATCTGTGGACAAGGACATGCATTATGTACAAAAGTCAGAGTTGCATAGTTATCGGACGGCAGGACATTCCACATCAGCTTGGAAACGCGTAAATTGGACAATATGTCACAAGCAAAGCGATTCTTCTGACACAAGAAACGCGTTGACATTGAAGGACAAAAGCTGCACAAAATATTGTCTAAACAAAGTATGCACAAAACATCGCATCCACGCAAAATGTGCAGAAAATGAGATGAGCCATGCAGACCTTCATACACAGAAAAATCCTAATCCTGAATTAACAAAAAATTCCACAGATGACACGGGCAGCCCACCAACTTCTGGCCCCTTCTCCGCCACCTCTGACTATGTTTGTCATTCATATTCCATATGACCTATGGCCCATAACATCGATAGCACGAATCGGACCATCTATATGACTGTTGGCCATTCCATTATGACTCGCGGTACCGATCAGCGTTCATGACTCCGGCTATTATGACTCGCGCGTGCCAGTCGATAGGACTCGCTGTACCGGCCCCCGCGCGTGCACGAGCATCGATCGTGCACATGGCACGGTCATTGGCTACGGTATGTAACCACGAAAACGCTGCGACTAATAGGTGCCTGATGCCCCAGCCAGTTCGGGTTCAGCCGACGAAATACGGGCGAACAAGTTCTATTCAAAGATTTAGAGAAGAACAGATGAAAGCAAAATGGGTTTTACGAGCTTTTCAAGTGTTAAATAAACACCATATTTTCTGCATAACCAATTTCAATTACAATTGCTATAGGGTTGGTGAAACTAAGGGAGAAAATGTACTCACTTACTTATAAACAATTAAGGAACAACAACAATATATACTCGTATTGCCAAAAGATAAATTGGCATATAAAAGGCCATAAATCGAGCACTGCGACATTGGGTGCCAGACGCCTGGTTTCCAGACAGAGCAATCCACAATGTCGGAAAACTCCGACCGGTATCGATTTATGGGCACGGACACCAGTTTTGTAGTCCATCTGGTCGGCAACAGCACTGAGCACAGCAGGTGGCCAGCCCCGCGGATCAATTGCCTAAAATAAGATTCAATGCTACCACCAAGCGAGTTATCCTCCAAATATTGCCATCCCTAGCGTACATGTATCTACATATATAGCTGATAGCAGTTTCTTTGCCCATAGCTTTCCTGACTAGTTACGTGATATAATTTCTATCCGCCTATTGAGCGAAGTTGCACACAACGCTGGTTCGGCATTTATAACCGCACTATCAGTGATCGCGCGCTATCGTACCGTCACTACGTAGGCGTGTGTAGAGCTGGCGAAGAGGGCTGATGTTTGCAGCTGTTTGAAGGAAAGGACGGGCGGAGAATGAAACCGAGATTCAACGCCAAAGGTCAAAATATAAAAAAACGCGACTCGTACCAATAAACAAAAATACAACTTTCACGCGCAGCCATCACAATCAATAAAAAATCGATATCACAAGCGTGCCGCCATCACCTACCACATATCCCGTTAAGCTTAGCTTACACCAGCCAACGCACTCGGATAACACTAAACAGCGGTGTAAAGAGAGTAACTCATTCGGAAAACACCGTTCGACGGTGTAAAAAAAACGAACACCCGTAAACTCACTCTGAGACGTGGCAGAAGATGTGCTCCTTGTTGCCCTCCGGCTTGTCGGGTTTGATGAAGCCGTGCCCCTTGGTGCGGCAGAAGCTGAGGATGGTGCCACTCTGGTCCGGGTTGCGCATGCCACGCTCCGACCTGTACGGGTACAGAGAATAGTAGGGGTCAGTCAGAGGTCATGGTGGGGCGTGCGACCTGCACAGGTAGAGGGAACAGAAGGCGTCAATAGAGGGTCGCAGTGGGGGCATGGAGGTGGCAGGGTTACTGCGATACCGTGGGTCAAAGCAGGGCTAGCCATTGAATCCCATGTCATTCATAGCACTGGATGACGTAAAGAAAGTACACAAATCAGTAGCGAAGTAGCGAAGTCCTGGGCCATTCACAAGGGCGCGACGGCTTTAGGGCAAGCCACCGAGAGTCACAGGTCAATACAAGGTCAATGCTGGGGTGATCTATCATACCACAGAAAACTAGGGTCACAATCACCAGTCAGTTATGTTTCTGAAATATCTTTGGATTGTACCTTAGTTTATTAGTTTATTCATGTTTATTCAATGTGAAGGAAACAAACAAGGCAAAGTCATTTGATAACGAATCCCTAAAAGTCTAAAAACATCCAGAGCTTCACGGAAAACACTTCCAAATTCACAGCAGTAAAAACTACGTTGCACAACTAAGGCCACCAAGCGTCGACCCACCGACGGAGCCTGATAGAAAAAAAAAAACGAAGCAAGGATGAATGACAGCGAGGGTCACGGATGACGTCACCAGGTTGTCATGGATAGGTCACGACCATGACTCACGGATCAGTCACGTCACGACCCATGGTCTAAGCAAAGTCACCGAGTCAATCCCGAGTTGGTTCTCAGAGAGCACAGGTTCTCAGAAAGCATCCATCGAGTACAGTTATTCTGGTCATGAATTTAGCGGCGCGTGTTGTGATGCGTGCTACTGAGCCGGCACGAACTCTGCCGGCGCAGTCAGCTGACAGCTGTTGCCAGCCGCCGCGGCGCCGGCCGGCGCCTGATGGTAGGCTGTGCCGCCCGGCAGCTTCCGGCGTCCTTGAGTAAAAAGTATTGTTGTGCAGTCGTCAGCCGGACTCAATACAGTTCACATCGGGAGTGCGCGTGTGCATCTGGGGCGGTGGAATCGCGACGATAATTAATTTGCTATCGAACCATTATTAACGTAGACTTAACCCGCGCACCGACGGGGGGGGCGGATATCCGCCCCCCCCCCCTGAGGTTTTTCGCGAATAGCGGGAAAACCGCGGCGCGTAGCGCCGCGAAATTTGGTATGACTATAACCTCATCAATTTTACACATGGTGTGCAAGTTTGAACCTCCTACCTTTTAAGGTCAGGTCACCAGGTCACTTTGAATGACCCAACCTCGTCACTTTTTTGCAACTTTGTCACCGTGCCAGAGCTACAGTAGATGTCGGAGGCCTTTGAAACTCACAGGATATTATTAGGTCATTAGTAGCTACAATTTGTATATCTCGGAATTTTGATATCGGTGACCTAAGGTCAGGTCAATTTCGCGACCTCCCCATTATAAGTCAATGGGGGAAAAATCAACTCCCTGTTTTTACCACTAAAACGGGTCGGAATGGCCCCATATACCATACATGACTTCATATACGATCAACCTTCACTACCTTGAGGTCTGTTTTGCTGTTGGGCAGCTGTGAGGTCATGTGACGTCATCAAAGGTCACCAAAGGTTTTTGGCCAATAACTCCGTACAGGAGCAAGATACAGACGCGTGGATGGTCTCATTGTGTTCAGCTCGTCAAGACGCATCGAATGATATACATGATGACCTCGAGGTCACGTGACCTGAGGTCAACCTTTGACCTTGACCTTTCGAGGTCAACATATATATCATTCGATGCGGATTGACGAGAGGATCACGATGATGCCCTTAGTTTGTTCCTATCTTGACTAATTCGAAAGTTATTCGAGAAAAACTCTCTCCATATCTAGCGCCGCCATTTTGACTTTTTCGACCCCTGTGACGTCATCTTTGACCTGACCTGAAAATGACCTTAGTAAAAATTGTAGATCTTGGCCGTGCGTATCCGATGCCGTTTACCGCTTGTCGCTATCTTGCTTCGTTCTTGAGATCTCAGGGGGGGCGGTCATCCGCCCCCCCCCCGTCGGTACGAAGTTGGCGCAGACCCCCGTCGGTGCGCGGGTTAAATGTAAAACCATAACATGGCGCGATCGGTATAATTTATTTTTTATCGTTAAATATAGCATTTTTTCGTCGGTTTTAACGCGCTTTTCTCGCAATGACGGAGGAAGGCAAGCCGGTAGACCTGGGAGCCCTCACCCAACTCCTCGCCCAGCAACTGGAGCTGGCTCAAGAAGCTCAGCGGCAAAGCCAGCAGCGGGAGGAGCGTATGGTGGCCGTAATGGAACGGATATGGGCCGGGCCGGCGGCAGGGACCGGCGCTGCAGCCGCGGCGGCTACTGCAGCGGCAACCCCAGCCGATACGAACGCAGCTGTCAATCTACCGCCCAGACTGCCGGCATCAGCGACTCCCGCTCCACAGCTGTCGTCATCGGCGTCACTGAAGGAGTTTGAATCCTGGCGACAGAAATTTCACGGCTACAGTCTGCTGACTGGCGTCAACAGGCTAGCCCAGCCCGAGCAGAAGGCAGCCCTACTCGCTCTGCTTGATGATGATTGGACCAGGGTGGTCAGGTACGGCCTGCCGATCCCCGAGGACGCTGACATGAACACCATCATCACTGCGATGCAGACGCATCTGCGCCGCCAGCGTAACGTCATCATTGATCGGAGAGATTTTTACATGCGAGTACAGGAAGCGGGTGAAACAGTGGACGATTTTCTCTGTGGACTGAGAGAGATTGCATCGTTCTGTGATTTCTGTCACCACTGCCAGGACAACAGGTTCAGAGATCGAGTCGTTGTCGGCACGCGAGACGAAGAAGCACGCCGCAGAATGTTGGAAGAGCCGGATCTCACGCTTCAGAAGGCAGTGGATATCGCCCGAGCGTCAGAGAATGCCGCCTCCAACAGCTCAGCCATCCGTGAACCAGCTGGCTCGACCCTGGCGAGGGTCTCTCAGTACCAGCGCAGCCGCGGTCGCCCGAGAGACCGGTCGACAGAAAAGACGTGCCCCCACTGCGGTGGTGAAGCTCACCGTAGCGCCGGCGACTGCAGGGCCGTCAAGAGGACCTGCCGAGCCTGTGGCAAGGTAGGCCACTTCGCGTCTGTCTGCCGCGGTCGCAGCGCCAGTCGCTCGCGCGCTCCGGCGGCGAGCACGGACCGGACCCAGCGGAGGTCCGATGGAGGCAGACGCGTGTCGCTCGTCACGATGCAGACGCGAGCGGCATCTGCACCTGCTAGACAGAGAGTGGACCAGCAGCACCGAAACTGCATGATCCAAGGCCTGCATACGACGCGTGCTCCGCAGATCCAGATTCTGCTGCATCGGAGTGACGGTGGCAGGCAGCAAACGACATGGACGCCAGATACAGGCGCTGAGGTGTCTGTAATCTCTCAGGAGGCAGCGAAGCAGATGGGCATCAACGTCAAGAAGCTGACGCCGCCCTCTGGAAGCCTGTTCGCAGCAGACGGACGAGAACTGCCCTGCCTGGGAGCGTGCCAAGTCGCACTGCAGCTGGGAAGCATCAAGAGGACGATAGCCGTCTCTGTGGTGAAGAAGCTGCACAGCTCGCTGCTGTCGTGGCATGACGCTGTTCGACTGGGAATACTGCACAAGGAGTTCCCACAGCAGATCCGTTCTGCTATCTCAGACGAGGAGGAGACCTCCAGACCAGCTCCAGCAGTCTGCTCCCTGAGGACCATGCCAGGGAAGAGCAAGATACCCCGCAGAGTGGTCAAACGAGGCTCTGCTCCTGCACTTGAAGACGCCGGGAAGGCGCAGAAGGCGCACCCGCTGAAGCCGACGTGGGATGAAAGCAAAGGCGTGCCATCAGCTGAAGAACGACGGAAGCACTTCTCAGCGATGAAGGAGGCCTTCCCACGTGTGTTTGACATCACCTCGAAGCTGCGCAAGATGTCCGGAGGCTCAATGGCCATCGAGTTGACTGAAGACGCCACACCAGTTGCCGTCTCCACAGCTCGCAGTGTACCATTCTGCTGGCGTGACGACATTCGGCGCCAGCTAGATGAGCTGCTGGAGAGTGACGTGATCGAGCCGGTGGAGCATCCGACCGAGTGGTGCCACCCCATCGTGCCGGTGGCGAAGCGGTCGCCGGACGGCACGGTCTCTGGCTGCCGTCTGACGGTCGACCTCACCAAGCTGAACCGATTCGTCAAGAGGCCAGCGTACCCAGTCAGGTCGCCGCACGACGCTGTGGCCTCGATCGGCAGCGGTGCAAACTTCTACACGAAGCTGGATAGCAAGTCTGGCTACCACCAGATCCCCATTCGCGAGGAGGACCAGGACAAGACGTGCTTCATCACGCCATGGGGCCGTTTCCGCTACAAACGTGCCGTCATGGGTCTGATCTCGTCAGGAGACGAGTACAACCGAAGAGGCGACGCTGCTCTCGGTGACATCCCTCAGACATGCAAAGTCGTAGACGATATTCTGGCGTACGACTCGAGCTACTCAGCTCACCTGGAGCACGTGTGGAACATCCTGCAGAGGTGTGACGACCACGGGATGACTCTGAACCCAGACAAGTGCTCCTTCGCCGGGAATGAGGTGGAGTTCTGCGGATTCAAGATTGACCAGACAGGCTATACCGCAGACAACAAGAAGGTGCGAGCCATCGCGGAGTTTCCGCAGCCGGCGTGCCTCACAGACCTCAGATCGTTTCTCGGTCTCGTGAACCAGCTGGGTGACTTCTCACCAGACGTCTCGGCCACCGCCGAGCCTCTGAGACACCTCCTGCGACCGAAGAACGAGTGGGTGTGGACGCCGCTGCACTCCAAAGCCTTCAGTGATGTGAAGAAGGCGCTGGTCTCGCCACCAGTCCTCGACTTCTTTGACCCGCGGCGCCGGACAGTCCTGGAGACCGACGCCGCTCGCCTACGAGGGCTGGGTTTCTGTCTGCGGCAACAGGATGCAGATGGACGATGGAAACTGATCCAGTGTGGGTCTCGTTTCCTGACCGATGTGGAGTCCCGCTACGCC